TCGTGAGATGCAAGAAACATAGACATATGGCAAGAAATCTGTAGATGCGCCCATAACAACAAAAGAAAATACTTTATTGAACCTTTTCTGATAAGAAGTGTGCGCTGCAAACGTGAGCATTTTTGACGATCCTTTCTGTCCAGTCTGCTCGTTTTATCGCGTTTAACCACAGCTGTCGTCGTTTTTTTGTCTGGCAGTGGCAGCAGATATGCGATCAAATTTCTAATTTGTGGCTGTATTACGTCGATTCTGGTACCCAACATCACAACAAGATGATATTTTAAGCTCCTTATGTAGCCGAATCTGCACTGGTTTGAATGGGCCGCCTCCAGTTTCCCCTTTGTTTTGCTGCCTCCAGCTAGCGCTGTGACGTCGGCTGACCCTAGTTGCCTGTGGTTGGCCTGGCCGTGCGTCACTCAGAAAACAACAGGCCAATCAGAAGATAGGCTCATGAATATTCATTAGACAGACCAAAATCGACCTCCTGAGAGAGGAGCTGTAAAAATATATTGAGATGGTTTTGGTACTTATACCGCAAATATATATTCTTAAGGACATCAAAACCTCAAATAAAACTCCAGAAAGGTGTACAATATGGGACCTTTAAAAGTTAACACATTGCATTGCACCATCTCAAGCTAAATTAACAAATTGTAATATATTCTGAGATATGATTTTAGTTTAATTTGACAATTGGCATTATAAGCTCATGAAGTTAAAAGGTGTTTCTTTGAGAATTTGATGTTGATTGTTAATTTTACTTCATTCATATTTTTGTAGAATTATAATTATTTAAAAAAAAAACATTAAAATGCATAAAAGTCAACTTAAAGGTAAATGTATAAACACTTTTGTTCAAAGGTTTGGGGCAGTAAGTTTTTATTTTTATTTTTTAAAGAAATTAATACTTGAATTCAGCAAGTATGCATAAATTGTAAAGTATAAAGTATAAAGTAAAGTATAAAAGTATTTCTATTTCAATTAAATGCTGAATACTGAAAAATAAATGTTTCAGTTTTCACAAAAATATTAAGAATTTTTCAACACGGATAATATATATATATTTGTTAATCAGCATATTAAAATGATTCAGAAAATTCAGCTTTGCATTACATTAAAAAAGATTTTTAATATATGCATTTTGCTTTCCTCTGTAAATACATACATGCTAATAGAGCCAAAAATGAAAACAGAGGTGGCTAAAAAAGGCACACAAATGGCACCTGTTTTGTAGAATGACCCTTTTGTTGTATGTAACAAGTTGCAAAGATGATTGTCTTCAAACATATTTGCATGAGGATAGCAGTGAGAAACATAAACAGTGTGAGTGTATTTGGCCAGCGAGGGCTCGGGCAGAACTGTTTACTCGTCTTTGTTAGACAGTACAGCAGTGAGTGATGATTAGTATGAAGACAAGCTTGATGTGGGTTAGGCAAGCGTGTTTTTTAACTCACACTGACGATGCCTAAAATCTACACGACACGTCACGGCACTCACCTGCATACAACGCCTGCTCTAAAGAAAATTCCTCTCTGTGGAGGGAAGAGAAAACATGAGAGTGGCACAAAGGGAGGTACTTGATGGAAAGGATGCAACTAAATGTTCGAAGTTAAGAGTCGTTCACTGAAAAACCTGCCCTTTTCTGCAAGGGCCGAAACGTCCCCCTCATTGTCTTTAAGTGGTGTCTACTTTAACGGACAGATGCTTGCTGGGACATGTTTCTCACAAGCCTGTAGGGAAAGAGTTTGCGCCGTGTGTTTGTTACTATAGAGTGACTTCACCATGGAAAGATGAGCTTTGTGCATGCTAGATTTGCATGCGCAGCTCACAAGGGAGAATGCTGTATGGAAGCAACAATGTTGTGTGATGTGCACATAAAATGAAATGATTTCAAAATGAATGGAATAGTCCACCAAAAATTCTAAACCTGTATGACTTTCTTTGTTCTGTGGAACATAAATGAAGAATGTAACCAAACAGTTTCGGTTCCCACCGACTTCGATTATATGAACATAAAATAGAATGGAAGTCAATGGGAACCAAAAATGTTTGGTTACCAACATTCTTCAAAATATCATCTTTTTTTTTCCCCCGCAGAAGAAAGAAATGCATACAGGTTTGGATTGGAACAACATGGTGCAACAAACATGCATAAACATGCTTTTTGTATTTGTTCTTAACTACATCAAAACATTTGAACAAACAGCAGTATTGTTTTGAATCATTAAGGATTATTGTGCATTATTATATTTTTATCAGCTGTTTGGACTCTCATTCTGACGGCACCCATTCACGGCAGAGGATCCATTGGAGAGCAAGTGATGTAATGCTACATTTCTCCAAATAAATATCTTCCGATGAAGAAACAAACTCATCTACATCTTGGATACATTAGTACATTCTCAGCAAATTTTCATTTTTGGGTGAACTGTTCCTTTAAAATAGACGGTGTGATCTGATGCACGAATGCAACTCTGATGGCATTTTTGCTACATTGTTTAAAGTGAACATGAAAAATGCATGAATTTCAAAAAAAAAAATTGTCTTATCAAATTTTTACAGTAATTGTATATGACAAGCAAAATTGTCTTGAATACATTGTGAATTTTTGATATATTGAAAGAGTTTGCGCCGTGTGTTTGTTACTATAGAGTGACTTCACCATGGAAAGATGAGCTTTGTGCATGCTAGATTTGCATGCGCAGCTCACAAGGGAGAATGCTGTATGGAAGCAACAATGTTGTGTGATGTGCACATAAAATGAAATGATTTCAAAATGAATGGAATAGTCCACCAAAAATTCTAAACCTGTATGACTTTCTTTGTTCTGTGGAACATAAATGAAGAATGTAACCAAACAGTTTCGGTTCCCACCGACTTCGATTATATGAACATAAAATAGAATGGAAGTCAATGGGAACCAAAAATGTTTGGTTACCAACATTCTTCAAAATATCATCTTTTTTTTTCCCCCGCAGAAGAAAGAAATGCATACAGGTTTGGATTGGAACAACATGGTGCAACAAACATGCATAAACATGCTTTTTGTATTTGTTCTTAACTACATCAAAACATTTGAACAAACAGCAGTATTGTTTTGAATCATTAAGGATTATTGTGCATTATTATATTTTTATCAGCTGTTTGGACTCTCATTCTGACGGCACCCATTCACGGCAGAGGATCCATTGGAGAGCAAGTGATGTAATGCTACATTTCTCCAAATAAATATCTTCCGATGAAGAAACAAACTCATCTACATCTTGGATACATTAGTACATTCTCAGCAAATTTTCATTTTTGGGTGAACTGTTCCTTTAAAATAGACAGTGTGATCTGATGCACGAATGCAACTCTGATGGCATTTTTGCTACATTGTTTAAAGTCAACATGAAAAATGCATGAATTTCAAAAAAAAAAATTGTCTTATCAAATTTTTACAGTAATTGTATATGACAAGCAAAATTGTCTTGAATACATTGTGAATTTTTGATATATTGCCCAGTCCTAATCTGATTCTTCATAAGGGCTTATAAGGGATTTGGCTTCAGTCTAAAAGAAAAACAACTGATTCAGCTCATTAAAGACTTGAGGCGATTAAGTGTCAGGGATGATTCTGGCATTGAGCTGCAATGTTTTTTTCCCATCCATTTTTTGATCACTGTTCACAAACTCATTATCTCTCCCTCATCTTACCTGTTTTTGTCCCCCTTGTCATCAACAACACCCTCCAGGAGACGGTGATAGGTGGCAATCTCTGTCTCCAGTTTGGACTTGAGGTTGAGCAGGGCCTCGTACTCAGCCGCCTGACGCTCCACCTGCACTCGCACCTGTCCCAGCTCTCCCTCCAGCTGCAGGATTCGAGAGTTGTACCCATTGACTTCGTGAGCGTAACGTGCCTCCGTTTCATGCAGCGAATCCTCGAGCGATCGAATCTGCAAAGCACCAAACAGAACAAGAAAGGTTTGGACACATCTGAATTTATGTTTCTCATGATCTTAATAACTTTTTGAAATAAAACCCTCTGTGTGAAACTGACAAATATAAATGTTTATTTTTATTTAATTTATTTAATTTAAATGTTTATTAATTGTATTATATTGTTTAATTTAATTATTTTTGTTTCACAAACGAGTTTATCTTATATTGAAAAAGATTCACATTATATTAAAGACCATTTGTGCTAGCAAAGCAAAAATAATGAAATACAAAAAAAAATTAAAGTCCTATCCTTGACACTTAATCACCTCAAATCCTTACCAATCT